ACTCGGAGAGCTAGGCCAGGCAAAAAAAATAAGTCAGCGGAAAGAAAAATCAGAGTACAAAAGAAAAACAAGTCAGCAGAAAGGGAAGTTAGAATACAAAAGGAAACAAAAAGAAGCAGCAATACCTTTACACTCCTTCTTCATGGACTCCACCGCAGCATCCTTCTGCTTCTCCGCCTCTACCACCCGGGCACAAAGAGCCTTCTCCTCCTTTTGGTGCGTTTGGCGCTCAGTCTCCATCTCGGCTCAGCAGAGATCAAGCTCTGCCTTTAGGGCGCTTACCTCAGAAGACAACTTTTTCTCGTTTTCGGACGAGAAAAAGAAGCCAGTATGATCCTGAGAAAAAGATTGAACAAAGAGAGAGAGAGAGAAAGGCATAAGAACAAAACAAAGACGAAGCCAGTATGTCGATCTTGTTCTGCGGCCAATCGTCCCACTGACCGTGATGTCTGCGGAAGCCCGAGGGGTCATCGTCGTCGTCGTCGTCGTCGTCGTCCTCGGTTGCAGGGTCCTTCCCAGCGCTATGATGTGGTGGTGTACGCACCGCGGAAGTGGCACCTGTCACCGGCTGAGAAGAGTCGGCTGGTGTCCTCAAAGAGGCTGAAGACGTGCCACCCGACCGCACCGAGAGTGGCGGTTCCTCATAAGGAGTGTCCATGCAGCTCAGCTTTTGAGCTAACTTCCTGCAACTCTTCTTCACCTTCTGCATAAATAGACGTTAAAGTTAACGCATTTTCCAAACACATATACACTAAAGAAATATTTTCGAAACAGACCAGTTTATGTTTATCTCCACAAAAGCCTCAAGAACGCCTGGCCCCTGCCCTCTAGACTCGTAAAGCTAGAACGCTGCTTCGTTGGACAGCCTCGACAATTGTGTCGTCTGGGTGCAGAAACGCAGTTGAACAGTTTTAGTATACATACTTAATACCAAATGGATAACAAATTGTACCATTCTAGTATCTTACCACATATCTTTGTAGCAGGGCTCTCTGTAGCTGCGTGTCCTCTCTAGTGGCAACGTCGTACACATCTTCGAGCACATCTTCCTCCGAGTCCTCGTCAATCACCTCCTTAGTGTACGGGGGCTTGATACGTGTCCTCGTAGACCAATGAAGCCAGCGCATGTACTCATCGAAGGTGTGCTGGTCGTGTGGAGGACCCGCATGGACCGGCTGCCGTTCCCTGGTCTCCCACAAGTGGATGTGCGTGTTGTGTGTCACGCGCCAATCCTTGGTCTTGTATCTCTTCCTGCGGTCATACCTGCAACAAAACGATGTTAGTTGTACTACACACACCTTTGAATTGTAGCTTTGTTATTAATCGATAACGCACCCGTGCAATACTTGGTTGGTGGAGTAAAGCGGTGGTGGGCAGTCTGTCATTCTTCCAAACTGTCTGCAGACCCTGACAGGCAAGTGAATCTTGACCACGTGGAAGAAAATAAGAGGGACGTTGCAGCGATACTCCTCTGACTCGTCCCTAGTGACAGGACTGAGATGGTACTGGAGCTCAGGAGCATCCCAAGGACACCAATGCACCTGAACATTTCGTAATTGAGTTAGGCTGTGATATAGTGTACATCGAACAAGACACATGTATGATAGTAAAGAGAGCGTAACTTGGTGTTGTGTTAGGACGTCGAGACCGTCCGTGTACTCCCTGTACTTGCGCCTCACATTTCCTCTAACTAACTCTGATTCCGTCCAGATAAACAGAGCTGTAGGGAGTGTATCCTGCCCGTTCTATTGCTGCATTGAACACGATAATGAATTAGCCATTAATAAACTCATCATATGTAACCATATCAAAGAATATAATGAACCAAAGTACTTACCGGTAAACCAGTATTAAGGGTTTCCCAATGAGCCATCGTTCCCAACACCAAACCTAGAGTAGGTACGAGCAACCCCAAGGTTCGCATACCCTGAGGTGCGACGGCAGGCAATGTATAGCTGTCGATACATCCATGTCAGGACTGCGCTGCCCCAGTTGTACGCCGCTATGTTTTCCCACGGCTGGCGTAGTATGTCAAGGAAGATCCAGCTGATGGTGTTGCTCGAGGCATCTAGGAAGAGGAAAGCACCCAGAAAGTGCCAGAGCCACACTCAAGTGAACCTGTCGATCTGAGCCTCCTCAGCCTGTGGGTCCAAATAATCAAAGCGCTCCGTGATCCAGGACGACGAAACACCGGAACTTTTCCTAAAATTGACCAAAGAAAATGAGACCCGATGGTTGTAGGAAAGCAATGCAAGTATTAAATAGCCTTGAATTTCTCACTTATTTTTTTTGGAAGCCTCGTCGTCCGGTGAAAGAAAGCCAGTAAACTGAGCCACCCGCTCCCTCTAGTAATCGTTGTCAACTATCCCTGTCACTGAAAGTCCCCCCAACCGAAGGTCAAAAATAGCCTTTACGTCCTGCATGGTCAAGGTCATCTCGCCACAAGGTAGGTAGAACGTGTGAGTCTCAGGCCTCCACCTGTTATAAGAATAGAACGACTGTTAGTTGCCTCAAATTTGTTACAAGAATGTTTACGTATAAATAAGGCACTCGCACCTGTCTACAGATGCAGTAAGTAGTGCTGGGTCAAGGGGCGGAAGACCGTAGTTGACAACACGGACAAACTCGAGAAAGCCAAGACGCCAGTATGTGTCAGGCGCAGTGTAGCTATCCAGAACGCCGCCCCCAATGCGCGTCAAGGGGCCTCAAAGGAGGCAAGGCCACCTCTGCGTCGTTGTCACTCAAGATGTGTGCTCGGTGCTAGTCGTCGTACTCCATCTCAAGAATGAGGTACAACGGGTGCTACGTGGGAGGGGCCATCCTGTTTCAAATTGATAAACAAAGGGTTAGAGTATTCAAATTAATAAAATTCAAATTAACATTACGTAGTATTGTAAAATTTGAACTACTTATTATGCAATACGAACATAATATGAAAGCACATGTATATATTCAAAGTAACATTAACAGACATATTAAACAACTTAACTAGGAATATAAGCATTTGATGAAACTTCATCAAGTCATCAAAATCAACGTATCACGCACTAGTAAGTACCGACATTTAAAAACTAGTATCTATATCCAAAATCCCTAACTAAATAACTAACTATAAACTAAATAATAAATACATAATCAATCCCTAAACCCAAAATCCTAACTATACTACTACACACAACCTCAACCCTAAAAACTATCTACCTAAATCACAAACAAATTCACTAACCTAACTATACTAAATCACTATCCTAAATCAATAACAATCATAAAACCCTAACTATCCTAAATCACTAACTATCCTAAATCAATAATAATCAAAATAAAATGAAATCGAAAGGGGTACCTTGATAGGAGCGGGCGGCCTTGACGTATAGTGTTAAATGTTGGCGCTTGGGCGTTAAGCGGCCGGCGCTGCAGGGCAAATGGCGCCATCCGGGCGGCATACAATGGCGGTAGCGTGGCGCTAAGCGGCGCGGCTGGGCGTGGGCGGGCGAGGCGAGGCGAGGCGGGCGGGCGGGCGGGGGGCTCGCTCACGATATTTATGTGCCCCTGACGCGCCATGCTCCGTGGCACCCTGCCACGTCAACCGTGACCCTTTCCGGTCGTCGCCACGTCAGCTCCCTGCCGCTCCACCATGTATGGCGTGGCACAGGCATTTGGCCGCGCCATGGCAATAGGCGCGGCCAAAAGTGTTAGTTAAAAAAAACAGAAAGTGTTAGATTTAAAATTAGTTTTAAAAAATGTTAAAATTTAAAAAAAATTCTCTCAGGAACCATGCATCCCGCCGGCCATCAGCAACAGCACTCATAACTCATATACAGAGAATCAAGTTTGTCACTTAATCAGCTCAGCTCACAGGAGGCATTCCGGACGAGCTGGGCAAACTGTCAAATTTGCGGATACTGATGGTCGATAGAAATTTACTGTCGGGTGGTATACCGCAGTCACTCTTTAATGTGTCATCTCTACAGTAACTATACCTCCAAGAGAATAATTTCATCGTGGCAATTCCATCCTCTATTAGAAATCTTACTAACTTGAGGTGCTGGTTGCCTGGTTCTAGCAGAGAATGCATTTAGCAGTGACATAAGCAATTTGGGAAATCCATCTACAGTTTAGGAGGATGGTTCACCAGAAATTATTGTATGACACTTGATCTTATGGATGGATGGAAATTTCAAGCTCATTACCTGAATGCACAGTTCAAGCTCATTACCTGAATTCTCTGGTGCTCTGCTGGAGCCCGAGGCCTCAGCAGATTGCTATCCTCTTCTCGTGTTGAGCTGAGTTGGGTTGTGTGTGTTTGCTGGTTTAATCGTTTTTCTTTTAGTTTTGGTGCTGTGTGGGATTTTGGGATTGGTCTCCCGACCCTCCCTTTGTAACATTCTGGTGGGGGGTTCAGGATTGGTCTTTGACCTCTCTCTTGTAGCTCCCTTTTTCTTCTTCTTAATAAAATGACACACAGCTCTCCTATGTCGTTCGAGAAAAAAGAAGGAAAGAGTGTCTGACCAGAGAACATGACTGCTTTTCTGGACAATGGACCAGGACAACGAACGAGGAATGCTCAAAGTCAATCGACACAAATGGATCACATCCTCGATGTCAGATAGCAAGGTCGGCTGATGGTTTGGGTCTTCCACGAGAAGACTGAACACTAATCATCTTCATATATTAACCATCAAGCAACAATGTTATTCACTACTATCTGTCTATCTTGTTCTACTAAATTTATCCAGGTAATGATTTGCATACAACAATAGCATCATGAAATGCACATCAATATATTGACCAAAATGAACAGACAATAAATGTATCTCTTGTTCACAAACAAGAAACAATACACGCAACTGAAACTTAAATAACTACCAAATAATAAACACTTTTCACTGATAGGGGACGAGGCCAAAACCCCATTCTTCTAGTATCCTATTTCTGAACCACCGCCGTCCCGAGATGATTGCTATGTATATATGCCAGAACTGGATGGTCAGCCATTGTCTTCAAATGAAAGAAAACAACTTGAAGTATACAATCAGGTAGAGGGAAAGAGAGAACACTGCACAAATATGCTGCCAGAATAGAAGGGCGGATGCTTCCTTAACACCATAGCCTCTGAGACCAGCGATTGCTCCAAGCAGGATAGCACTTGGCGTGGAGTACTGGAGGGAAAGCACAAAGCGGTACATATGGTTTTGCTCGACGAGTAGATGCAACTTGTCTGCTAGGGTCACAACACCAATGCCAATGCATGGGAGAACCAAAAGCCTGGCCACAATTATACCGATGATAGTCCTCATGCCCAAGGCATTATCTTTTGGGCCTTCCGCAAGCATGCCTCCTAGAATTAACATCACTGATGGAACCACTGCAGCAGCTAGGATTTCCAAACTGTCGGTGAAGAATGAGAGCGGTGCATCAGCCCCAAACACAAAATCTTTCAAGACAGGAACCATGCCAATGATAATGGCAAGTAAAGAGGCGATTGTCGGGGGCTGAAGGACATGCTGAATTGGAGTCTTCTCAGCTACAACCCTGATCCTCCTGACCACTCTTGGCTCTGCCAAACATCTGAGCGACTTAGGACTGCTAGGTCCAGCACCAGAAGTTCCTTCTTCAGTGAAATCAATATCAGGAAACGTATTCTGTGAGGAACCTGAAATGCTCATGAAAACTCTTGCAATGAATGGTGTCTTTGAATGCTCAGTTTCTTTGTCAACCATCCCTGGCCACTCCGCCTCATGAAGAAGAGACCTACTGTAGTTGCTGATCTGCTCGGGTTCTTCCTGTATCTCATTCCCCTCCCCAACAATCTCATAGAACTGCATCGGTGGCTCCATCATGTGGTAGACCAAGGTGTACACAAGAATAACCGCAGCCCACTGCGCGAACGAGACATAAGCGATACCCATGGTGTCACATTCAGGACCGAAGGGATGATCATTGGTGTGGCAGACCGACCCGATGATCGCAATTGGGATGTTCCCCGTGTTGCCAAACCCGGTCATGATCACTGTGAACCGGAACAGGTGCGGCGGCGGGCGGCAGATCAGGGCCACGATGTACCCAAGAACGCACCCAATGGCAGTGCTGATGAGCACGTTGACAGGGATGAACCACCAGTGCAGGACGTTGTCTATGGTGACCGACTTGCCGAGGTGGACGAAGATGAGGCAGGGGAGGAAGAGCGCGAAGACGAGCTTGCTCAGCAGCTTGAAGGTGGCCCTGGGCACGACCTGGACCCGCGGGTTGGCGAGGAGCAGGCCGATGACCGTCAGGCACAGCAGCTTCATCAGCGGCACCACGGCTGACACCCAGTCGCCATGGACGGTCACCTGCGGGTCCATTGCCCAGAGCATTGCTGCTGCTAAAGGGACCCTAAAGCTTCTTGCCCTTCTCTGCCTTCAGTGCTCAAAACAGCCCTCTTCTAAACTCTGAAAAATACTCCCACTTTTTGGTTGCACAACTAAATTATATTCTCTTGCACAGAGACAATGCTCAATCAGATGCAAAAGGATGATATTTCTGCATAGAAAATTAATGGAGAAGATTCAGCAACGGAGGAAAAACTACGAAATGGTATTATATGGGATTAATAGCAAAAAATTCTAGCTTCCACCCCGTGCGGATCTTGCAAAGTAGTGCTTGATACTTGACTCGTGTTCTAAACTTCCTACAGCTCTCGAATTTCAGGTCTTGGCGAAGATTCAGGCAACCGATCAGCAAGAAAATCAGAAACAGCAAACAGATCACCGCAACGGAACCAAACCTTGCAAGATTCACGGCAATACTTACTGGGAATGAAGGAGGGATGGGGGGAGGCGCTGTGCTGTGCTATCCCTCTCCGCGACGCGATGCGCCGAGGCAGGCAGGCAGGAGCGGCAACGACCAAGAGAGAAGAGGGGAGAAGAGTGGCGGCGTGAAAGGATTCCAGATTTTGGCAATTCCGTGTGGTTAGACTTGTCGAGATCGAGACAAGGGCATGGGCATGGGGCCCAGCAGGAAGGGACCCAGGCAGAGGTGTGATGTGATCTGCAATTTTTTTTTCCTCTCGAAGGCACGTGAATTCGGGGCTCTGATTTTTTTTTTTGAGAATCAATTCGGGGCTCTGATGGAGACAACAGCATCCGCATGTGGTCTTGATCAGGATCAGATCGGTGATGCCATATTGCCATGTTACGCCAAAATGATTGAGGCTACGGTTGGGGAGGCCGAATTGAATTGGATTACCAGTTCAAATGCAAGAAGAATTTAACTGCTGCTTAAAATTCAGGGCTTGAATTCTAGCTCATAAAAAGGGACCCAAGGTCCGGAATATATATATATATATATTTGCTCCGTTCGCTTGGCTAAAATTGGTTGAAAAAATAAGCCAAAGCTGAAATGTTACGAGAGAAAAACACTGTTCCGGCTGAAAAAAGAAGTCGAATAAACCGGCTTTTAAAGTAAGCGAACCTATGTCTTTTTATTAATGCAATAACTTGGGGGATAATCTATCCATCACACCTGGTTCGTTTGATCCCTAAACCATAGAGATTAAGGGAGACAGGAGATGATTGAGAAGGATTTTGATTTATAGGGAATTTAATCCTCTCAATCCTCCTAATTCTCTTAGTTTAAGGATGAAACAAACAAGACATCAGCGGGTTAAGGAATTTGGAGGGGACAAGAAACCTTCCACCTAGATCACTCACATTAATACTATTTTTGACATTGTCGCTTTCTTTGCTAACTTAGCTGCCATGGCTGCCCAATCAAGCTTGTTATCTGCAAAGTCAAAATGTTTTGGCTTCTGGTATGGAGGAGGATCTTGTTGGCTGGTTGTACAAACTCACAAAACTCTTTAGGGCATGTTGGACACAATTTTTTTTAGCTCTGGCTCTTCCTACACCAGCAACTGTAGCAGCACCGTTCAATGAGCTTTTTTTTTCTCTCTCATCACAAAATAAACACCGAGAAACCATGATTTCTGCCTCCGCCTCCTGCTCCTTCGGTACTGCTGCTCCTAGTGGTGCTTCAGAGTTGAGACTGCCGACGTGTCACGAGTGACCAGCACGAGAGCGACGGATCAAAAACAGGGGGAACGAAACGAACCAACCAGCCCACCCAGGTACTACGCGGAAACATCGCCACGAGGGTACGGATCCATTGGGCTGCATCTGGCATGATCGACTAGGTTCGGGCCGAGCGTTGCTTTAGGTTGCCGGCCTGGCAAACCTGAGGCCCTATAGTCTGATCAACATTTTGGCAGCAGCAGGCAGCCCTTGTATATTTTCCACGGACCCGGGCTTGCAAGTAGAGGTGGAGAAGGACAGGCATGCGGCAACAAAGGTTGACGACGGCGAAGAACACGGGGTGCTCATCAAGAGAATCTAGCTGTTATTTCTCTTTTCTTATGCGGTGCCCCATCAGGCGGATGGATGTAAAAGTTCTTTTACTTTATTAATAAAATCCAACCCTTCTCTCTCTCAAAAAAAAAAACAGAGCAGAGTAGCAGCTAAGATATCGGCCCCGTTCACTTCGCTGAAAAAAACAAGTTGAAACACTGTTTTGACTGAAAAAATAAGCTGAAAAATACGGATTATAAGATAAGCGAACATGGCCGAAACAGAAACCAGAACCGGAGGCTGAATGCTAATGATGTCTTATGAAAAGATACTGTACACACCTAGCCAGCATGTCCATCACACAGATAATCAGGCACACACAAAGACAACTGAGATGCTCTGCCATGCAAACATGTTCATCGCCAATTCCAAACTTGGGCCAAAAGTATACTATAATATAACCAAATGGTATATTGCATACTCTCATCTAAGGCCTTGCATGTATTCATCTCAATCCACATGTGTTGAAGTGAATTGGAGTGGAATTGAACTAAATTTCATTCCACTCTAACATATGTGGATTGAGTGGATATACATGCATCCAAACAAGGACTAATGGGAGGATACATTACAGTGCCTCATGGCTGAAAATATGCAACAACTTGGGTGCATAGCAAGTACTTGTTTGGATTGTGTTATTTTGACCATACATATATGTATCTCATAGTTAGCGTGGCAAACTGATTGAGGATGCAAATTCTTTCTCTAGACTGTAGCCGCGAGAGGTCTCTTGATCACAAGGCAAACGGGTAGCATTCCCAAGATCGAGCTGTGCATGGGAGTTTCTAGCATGTGATGGGCACAGCAAATGCTCAGCCTCACCATTATTTCCTGGTGAATGGTGTCTTTTTCTTCTTAGCCTCCCTATCCTCAGGAGCTGCAATTTTATCTCCACTTCTTTCATAGTTGGTCTCTCTACTCCTTTGGTCCTCAAGCATGCTTGTGCGAGTAAGGCGATATCATCAATTTCTCCTTGGTCTGCCTCTTCCACAATCTGTTGATCTATTATTTCCATAAGGACTCCTTCTTGAAGTGCTTCAATGAAGTAATGAGCCAAGCTTTCTTTCACACCGGAATCACTAATAAAAACTAGTTTCTTTCTTGTCAGAAGCTCCACAACAATCACACCAAAACTATATATGTCACTCTTCTCAGTTAGCCGACCAGTATTGTAATATTCTGGATCTAGGTAGCCAAATGTGCCTTGGACAATTGTCACCACATGAGTCTCGTCGATTGAAACAGATCTTGAAGCACCAAAATCAGAAACCTTCGTGGTGAAGGTGGCATCCAAGAGTATATTGGATGACTTCACGTCTCTATGAAAAATTGGAATTGCAGCAGCTGAGTGTAGATAAGCAAGCGCCCCTGATGATTCTACCGCAATCCTAGTGCGATCATCCCATGACAGCAAACATTTACCATCAACATTAGTGTGAAGAAGGTTGTATAATGTGCCACTAGATATGAACTCATACACAAGCAAGGGCACCTCAGTTTCCAAGCAACAACCAAAAAATTTCACCACATTCCGATGGATGATTTGAGACAATATTGCAACCTCATTGATAAACTGATCTATCTCGGTTTGCTCCACAATTTTAGACCTTTAATGGCTACCACATTTTGATCGGATAGAATACCTTTATAGACAGTTCCATGTCCTCCACGGCCAAGGACACGAGTAGCATCAAAATAGTTGGTGGCTTTCTCTAGTTCCTCTAAGGAGAATATCTTTGTTTTGTTTGGGGTGCTCTCATCAAATACTAGTTGCTCCAACAATAGACCTTGATTTTTCTTGTAGTATGCTCTTCGGATTCTCTTCTGCATGCCTTGCTTCCATTTTCTAGCTATTAAAATGGCGCATAACACAAAAATTATGGAGCCAAGACCACATCCAATTCCAATTGTAACACATGTGTTGCACATCCATTAATGTCATGAATTCCACAACAAGATCATTCTACTTTTTACCAACAAGATTATTGCATTTTTATAAATGAGATGTGGATATGTGGGGTATGACTCACCTAAAATAAGACTGTGTTGCTTAGCTAATGTGACACAATTCCTTTTTGTTGGTTCAAACACTTTACCATGAGGACAAGTTGTGCAATAATACCCTCCAAGAGTATTATGACATACTCCATTGCAATCATTTGGCTCTAAACACTCATTAATGTCTACAAATAAATTGGAATCAAGTGAGCCATCATCAAGTTCTTTAAAATATTGAAGCTTGTAAGGTTCATTTGGTTTTACAGTATGTCATGAAATTCTTAAGAAGCTCAAGTGTTCCAAAATATTCCTTTTTCACACACGCACACATACACACAAACACACAAAGAGTGAGAGAGAGACCTGTACAACCATCTGGGCTTTTGACATATGGATTCCCATCAAAGCCTTGCGAGCACTCGCAACGATACCCTAGGTATAGCGTCCCATGGGTGACATTAACGCATTCGCTGTGGGGGCTGACACACGCATAAGTTCCATTCCTTTGCGAGGCTGTTGCGTAGGTTAAGTTGGAAATAGCCCACCTCATCTTGATATCAAATTCTTGGGTGAATTCAATAAAACTCCACACGTATTCGCTCGATATCCTGTAATCAAAGTCACCATTGGAGGTATGAACTACCACCACCTGGTCATCGCTGCTGCTTGAATCATTAAGCACGCTGATAAGACCCAGGTATCCATCATTCGCTGACAATTTGGTCACCATAAATCTTGTGCCATCTCCTCGGTCAAGAACAAGTGTCTTATTCGACACGCAACTAAGTTGAAATTTCTGGTGTGCACAGCAACGTTCTTCTAACCCAAAAGGGAAAGGGATGGACATGTTTCCACATGACCTCTTGCAATTTCCTTTAGGAATGGGGTCGTAACTTGCTCAAAAAATGAGAGGGGAGAACTATTGAGCATATGTGTAAATAAAAGAAGAAAGAAGTTATACACCATAGCTCGATGGTTATTGAGCATAAGCAAGAAGAGACATGTTTCAAACATTAAGGCTCTGTTTGGCACAGCTTCAAACGGTTCTGGCTCCTTGCTATTGCGTGGAGGAGCCAGAGCCAGTGAAACTCAAAATAGTGGCTTCACTAGCTCCTAATTCATTTTGGGAGCACAGAGAAAAATGGCTCCTCATTACGGTTCATAGAGGAGCTAGAGCCAAAGTTGCCCGGAACTCTACCAATTAGGACTCAATATTTTCCAAATTCTCATGTGCAACTATAATACTACGAAGTTTTAGTCGTTTCATTGAACTAATTAATTAGGAGTTTGGCAGTGTCTCGAACCTTCGATGCAGCCATCCAAAATGTAGGGATTGCAGTAACAGAAGTAGCCGCCCCACTCTCCCGTCTGGCATAAGCTGCCAGGGCTACATGCATAGGTTTCCATATTCGCAGATGCGATTTCACAACTTGGTTGGTCCGTTGCGAAAATCTCCAAGCTTGTATGCACACTTTGGTTTATCCAGCTCGAGTAAAGGTCGCTTGTGTTGAATACATAATTACCATCAGTTAAGAAAACCTTTGCAGTGGAGGAAGCAGCGTCTGGTTGTGCTCGGATGCCATCCCTACTTGACAGCGTGAACCGAAAGCCTCGGCGATGCTGCAGCAGCCGAACCCATTGCAATTATTTTCGGGCTCCATACGGACCATACCCATGGCCATGGTCGCCCGGGCAGGAACTCGAGCAAGAACCAATGGTCAGGTTTGTCCCAGTATCGAACAGGACCACGTCATCGTCGCAACCAACAAGGTACATGCAGGTGTCAGAGTCTATGACGAAGCCCTTGGCGGGCGACTCCCAGGACCCCGTGTAGTTGTAGGTACTCGTACCTGGCGTGACGGTGATATTGAAGCCGATCGAGGCGTAGGCGAAGTAGTGATCTGTCCCGTCCATGCCAAGCATCTGGGTGCTGCTGTTGGCCCAGAAGAGCCTGGGAGGCTGGGTGGTGTTGTCGCAGGTGAGCTCGAAACCCTGCCGGAAGCAGCCAGGCTCGATCCCGAACGGGTAGAGTGTAAGACGAAATAGGTTAACGAGGTTACCCCTTGGGATCCTCGGTTTCATGTTATATAGATGGAAACAACCTCCACCGTGGCAGGTTACAAGATCATGATTACAACAAACTGATTCCTAGAATCACTCATCTACTTCCTTGTATAACAACCTAAAGATATACATAGAACCTGGACTACCTATATCATCTAACACTCCTCCTCAATCTCAGCCACTTCTAAGGTTGAGATTGTCCCTGAATTGACTAAGCTTGAACACAGGCAAAGCCTTGGTGAATCCATCAGCCACTTGGTCGCCAGTGTGTATGAACCGTATCTCTAGAAGTTTCTGTGCAACACATTCTCGAACAAAGTGAAAATCAATCTCGATATGTTTGGTCCTAGCATGGAAAATGGGATTAGCAGATAAATATGTTGCACCCAAATTATCACACCAGAGTCACGCCTTGGCTGGATGTGGTATTCCCAATTCAGTAAGAAGTTTCAGCACCCATAACATTTCGACTGTAGCATTTGCTAAAGCTTTGTATTATGCTTCAGTGGAGGATCTTGATACAGTGGGTTGCTTCCTGGCTGTCCAAGAGATCAAGTTATCACCAAGAAACACTGCAAAACCTCCTATAGATCTTCTATCATCCACACAACCAGCCCAATCCGCGTCAGAGAATGCACTCACAAGTGTCGACTTGGACCTCCGAATACTAAGTCTGAGATTTACAGTTCCTCGAACATACCTCAGGATCCTCTTCATGGTGCTCCAATGTACAGTGGTCGGTGTGTGCAAGAATTGGCACACCTTGTTCACTGCAAAGGCTATATCTAGACGTGTCAATGTCAAGTACTGGAGGGCTCCAACCACACTACGGTAATTTGTTGCATCATCAGGTCCAAGTTTATCACCGGATTCCACACTTAACTTCTCAGTGGAGGACAAAGGGGTGTCAATAGCATTACAACAATGCATACCAGAGCACTTTAAAATATCCATGGCATAGCGTTCTTGGGTGAGAGTCAATCCATGACTTCCCCTCTTGACTTCGATCCCCAAGAAGAAGTGTAGATCTCCAAGGTCCTTGAGAGCAAAATCAGCTTGCAAGTCGGCAAGCAAAGCACTGGTGGCTCGGGGAGACGAACTAACAACAATAATATCATCCACATACACGAGAACAAACAATAAGTTACCTCCCTTTCTATAATAGAACAACGAGGTATCAGCCTTGGAAGGCACAAAACCGAGTTGTTGAAGCTTGCCACAGAGTCTAGCATACCATGCCCGTGGTGCCTGTTTCAAACCATAGAGGGCCTTGTCCAATTTGCAGACATAATCAGGCCTTTGAGGATCAACGTAACCAGGAGGATGTTGCATATATACCTCTTCCTCGAGAACTCCATGCAGGAATGCATTCTGGACATCAAGTTGTCGAAGTGACCATCCTTGTGACAATGCAACAGAGAGAACAATACGAATTGTAGCAGCTTTGACGACTGGACTGAAGGTATCTTCATAGTCTATGCCATACTGTTGCTTGTATCCTTTTGCAACCAGGCGTGCCTTGTAACGATCAACAAACCCATCTGCTTTCCGTTTGACTTTGTAGACCCACTTACACCCAATTATGTTCTTGCCTCTTGGTGGTGGAACAAGATGCCATGTTCTATTTCGAATGAGTGCCTAATGTTCAGTATCCATTGCCGAGACCCATTTATCATCCTTGAGTGCCTCAGAGATAGTAGAAGGTTCCTCAACAGCAGTGTTGGCAAGTTGACACCATCGAACTGTACCATCCGTGGAGACTTTAGGCTTGCTGATGCCATGTTGCAATCTTGTAGTTGGCCGCTGCTGTTCCGGAGGAGAGGACGGGGCCGTAGAAGGAGGTGCACCATCCGCGCTCGCACCGGATCTAGAAGCCGCATCAACATCGGGTGCCGGTGCCGACATCTCGGGCCCGCCACTGGGATCAGGATGCGCGCACCTGGTGTGGCCTCAGACACGGTCGATCCAGGTGCTGGCGTAGAGGATCCCGCGCTTGACGCCGTACCGCCTGGGGACAACGTGTTTTGGAAGATCGTCTTCGATCCCGAGGTGGATGCGCCGCCAGTCGCCGGAAACTGGACGCGCGGATCACAATTTTGACCTGCGCTAGCTGCAACTCTAGAAGAATCATTAGGTGCATGAGTAGGTAATGGAGAATTCAGCACATGATCAGACATTTGGAGTTCCCCAATACAAGAGGGATTGAGAAGGGTCTCGGGTAAAAGAAGAATTTTAGCGCGCAAACGAGCACCGGCATTTGGGTGAAGTGAGGCGAATGGAAACACATTTTCATCAAAGATAACATCTCTGGAGATATAGACTCGTCCTTCCTTGGGATCTAAACATTTGAATCCCTTATGTTGGTTGCTATACCCCAAGAAAACACACTGCTTTGACCGGAAGTCTAACTTTCTAGCATTGTATGGACGTAGATGTGGCTAGCAAGCACACCCAAAAGTGCGCAGAGATGTATAATCAGGGTGTTGTCCAAATAGACGAAAATAGGGAGTATCATTACTGATGACTCTAGATGGGAGCCGATTGATCAAGTAAACGGCTGTCAAGAATGCCTCATCCCAAAATTTGAGCGTCATGGAAGCATGCGCTAGGATTGTTAGGCCAATTTCAACTATGTGTCTATGTTTCCTTTCCGTGGAGCCATTTTGTTGATGGGCATGGGGACACGAAATGTGATGTGAAATGCCCATACGCTTAAAGAAAGGACTTAGAGCTTGATATTCTCCTCCCCAATCGGTTTGGATAGAACG